GTTGATAAAGCATAGAATTGAAATAAGTTTAATGAAATTATCTTAGACAGTTCTCTTTGAGAGTACTTTATCATCAGGTAACTGAAGTGCATGTTCCCTTGTTGGAGCATCAAAATCCAAGTGGTGAACAATGTTTGCAGCGGAAACACCTTTTCTAAGAAACCGTTGGGTGTGGTGCCAAACACCAGAGTTGGGAAGATAAGTCCCTACATGAGATCCTCGCACCTGCAAAAAATAAAAAGTCCATGTCATAATATTCAAATAAAATACTACAAATATCCCTAGGGACAATTTGAAGTATCATTATGAGCCATCTCTGATGAGAAAGAGGGCAAAAGAGACACCCTAGTGCAATGAAACTGATAAAAAGATCCTCAATTGTTTGGTGGAACCGTGGAAGAGAAACAGGAAAGCAAGCTTTTAATCCACCTCAAATGAGTGAAAAGACAATCAGTTTTTCGATCATCAAGCTCAAGGATTAAATTCTTTTAGATGTATTAGAATGATAAACAAAATATAAAATAAATGAACTAACCTGCACAATCCTTATTGAATTTCAAGGATGAAATGTTTTGTTTCACATATTTGGGTTGACAAACAAGAGATAACAACTAGTTGCAATATAAACTAACAAATTTGACAAAAACTAATCACCTTGCTTTCCAGATCAAGGGCCTTAGAGGCCAACCCTTCCAACCACTGAACAATACGAAGGCATAACTGTGCAGTATGGTCATTCACAACAAACTGGCAAGCCTCTAAATGTGAAGTTGAAGGGGACTGCAATAAGTGACCAAATAAAAGTTAGATAACACCCTTTAGTCAAGAAAAACAACACTCTCCAAATAGAGGGAAGATTGTCAAGAAGAAAATTTTGGACAAAAAGAAATCACCAGGATTAGCTCCTCAGGAGGTTCTTCAGTCACTGCAAGAAAAAAGGTAACCTTTAGCATGAAATGCAGTACAAAGAGTCAAAGATCATGAATAACTCAATAATTAAAATTCCTTTATTAATATAAGAAATCAACTTTCAAGAACAACTTTTCAAGGTTAGATTCATTTCCTTTGCCATAAAGGTACCACAAAAGAGACCATGTAGCAGCTTCGTCAAGCAAGAGAAGAGCCTTTTGCCTCATCAATTTGTCCTCTGCATACCGATGTGTTATGTTTGATCCATATCTGCACAAGCAACATAAAATCATATGGTCAAAAAGCCACCCAACAAGTTAATTTTCCCTATTTAACCCGGCAAACTACAAAAAAGAGTATATCCTCCTATATTTTGTGTTCTTTCTCTGATGTTCGCAAATCAAGAGACAATACTACATGCAATCAGATCCTTAATGTTTGATAATTTTCAGAAACTTGAATTCACAAATACTATACAAATTGCAAAATCACTATGCTTCCAGTGGCATTACTTTACTGTTACTTAGACTTCCATAACCTACAATATATAACATAAAGAAAAAAAGGTGTCACCATGTAACATCTAAGACAGATCATTTCAATAAAATATACCATGTACAAAATACTACAATTCTCAAATACTGTACACGGTGACTCTAAAGGACAAACTGTTAAGAAAATTGTAACTGTAACCATATCTGAATAATATTACACATCAACATATATCAGTCTGCATTTCGCAAGATACTAATGCCAACCCATGCAAATCCTCTATAGCATAAGACACACCTTATTGACTCTGAAATGTCACAACATGATCTCTCAAATCTTAAAATCAGATCAGGAATAGGCATTAAACCTGCCAAAAGAAAAGGTATAATGAGATAGAATAACTTAAACTGCACATCAAGAAGATTACAAGTAAGAGCATTATAATTTTAAGAAACCCAGCCTTAGTTGCAATTTAATACAACTTTTCTTTTAAGACAATTGTTCAATGCCCAAGCCAGCCGGCCACTTAAATCAAAAAACTGATATTTAGACCCCGGTTGGATCTTACAAACATAACTGAGAAAGTGATTAATATATACTGAATATTAAACAGACATCCCTGGTATTATCCCCAGAAACGCTGGTTTGAAATTTCTGTCTGACTGACAATAAGCATCAGAAAACAAAGGCAAAACAAAAAGTTTATAGCATATCTAGGTTAATTGTACATTGAGAAAGTCACTTCTTATTAAATAAATAACTGGGATAAACCACTATAAAGAAAAAAACTCTTTGCAGACCTAAATATGGGAGAAGAATAAAGAAATGAATTATGAAATAAATCTTAACCATTTTCTATGCACTAAATATAGCAGCAAAAAATGAGTTTATATGACATATAACATATTTCACCCACTAAAAGAAGTCAACACCCCACAACACTCCAAAATGGCTAAAAATACCAAACAACTTTTGCAACCCTATTCTAAGATGCCTAGAGTGTTTGTTCAAAATAAATTCTGAAAAGAGAGCTCTGAAGCTGATCAGTCATGAAAGCCTAACATCATTGTATGATCTCTTACTGGAATTAAATACTATACCACAGTTCTAACATAGATATATTGGTCAGTTCAATAATTTGAAGTGCATTGCCTTTCAGGGATAATCCCCATTTCATAAAGAATTGGATAATAGATTTCCACTTATCTCCAAATAATTTAGTTATGCAACATCTATTTAGGTTAAAATTGAAAGAACTCAAGCACAATGTCTATTAAGCATTAACTCACTTCCTTCCACCAGTCTTGCAATATCTACACATCCATGCCCAATTTAATGCACAAAGCTATAATTTCAGCATAAAGCTCACCAGCTAAGCATGGCCCAAAAAATAGAATAAACACTCCCCAGCAATCATCAGATGTTATTTATCAAAAACTAACTTAACTAAAAGCAAAAGAAGCTAATTAAATATTTTAAATTTTGAGCAACATGCTTAATATGTCTAATTTACTTCAAGCACCTTGAAGGGTAGAATCAAGCAAAGATGCAAATAAGGCAAAACTTGTTTCTCCACTTTCTGCCAATGATTCATCCTCAATCTTGCAAGATTTTAATGAAACACTTCCTACCCGACGCATTGAATCAGTGCCAAAGTCAGCCTCTGGGATTCCACGAGCATCAATGGATAATTTTCTTTTTGAAGCAGATTGTGTCCTGGCAGGTGTTTCCAGAGAGTAATCAGCATCAAAGCCTTCAACCTCCTGCTTGATGTTTTCAAGAAGAAGAGCAGCATTTGTTGGGCTGTGGATATTCTGTCCATCATACAACAACCTAGCTCCATTGAACTTTGATACACCACTTTCCTGCCGGGGAGATATGCTTGAAGTTGAGTTCCTTTTCCTGTACAGACCACATCATTAAACAAAATTATCCATAAGAGAAAATAGAATGAAATAAGATCATTTAAGAATTGAGCAATGCAAAGTGAGATTCAAAAGAAAGGAGCAACACCCATATTTACCCGAACATCATTTGTTTTCACCTGGAAAAATGTTAAACTTGAGGTTTTCTTCAATTTTCTTTTCAAAAATGTCTTACATTTTCTCCAATAATTCCTAATACTCCATTCATAAAATCATTTTTTATCTTTCAGTGCGTAATTTATATTACAGGTCATTCAACCCTAATGGCAAATCTCAAATTCAAAAATGCATCCATATTCAAAAACTTAATTCTACTAACTATTCATGAACAACATCTCCAACAACTAAAGTGCAGCTATTACTAATTTACTAGTGAAATTGGTTTTATCAAACAAACATTAAACCCCAATATAATCACCCCATTAATAAATTGCTTGATTTACATCACAATTCCCAAAGAAAAATAAAAACTTGAATCCTTTAAATGTACAATATATACATCTATGCAACGGTTACAGGGAAAAGCAACGAAGTATTAGAAAGATACCCATAACGGCGATACTGCTCTCGAATGGTGAGGTCCTCAGGATCGAAGCAACTAGGTGAGGTCTCCATTTCAACGTCCATCTCCGATAAAAAAGTAAGCTTTCCGGCAGCACCTAATCCTAAGCGTAATACCCAGTGTAAACACCTGGAATTACAGCGGATTTGAGCTTAAACCCTAGAAGATGCTTTAAGCGCGGGAATGTACAATGGACGAAGAAGGGTTTAACCAGTGAAGCTACTTCAGCCCATGTAGAAGGTACGGTTCCTTTCCCTTTCTCATGAGAGGTCCGAGGTCTGCCCCAAACGCGCCGTTTTGTCTTTAGAATGTATATGAAAAATGCTTTTCTCCTCTAAAGGCAATTAACCATTTGTATGATCCTTATATAATTACATCTACACTTTTTATAACAAAATCTTTAATTATTTTTTGAGAAAGATTTTTTTTTTCAGCATGGATGGCACTTTTTTGTACAGTTCTAATACTAAAATTATCAAAATATCATTAATGAATAAATAGAAAGGGTAGTTTTATTTAAAATATTTTAATAATTTTAATATTTAAACTACACAAAACGTGCCATCCATACTAAAAAAATATTTTTTGTTGTTACTTTTTATTTAGAGTTACATAATGAAAAACAACTCTTACTAACATATTTTATCAACATATCATATAACTTGAATACAATTTTTTTTACTTTTATAGTAACTTGGGTCTTTTGTGAGAATATAATCTTTAATTAGTTAAAATAAAGACATAATTTTTGTATTAATTAGATTATGAATAACTCAAACAAGAAATTATCATATGAATTTAAGAAAGTTAGCTTTTATAAATCAAGAAATTAGTTTGATTAATGATTCAACAATAGTATATGACATGAAATAAGGTTTTGTGATAATTTTTGTAAATATTTCATCAAAAGTATCCTTAATCCAAAAAAGTGTGTCCTTATGTCAATATGATTAAACTTTATATACTCAATTATGAATTTAGTGAAAGTTTGTGTCCTTGCTTTTGGCTTTTGTCTTTCCTCAATGGCATTATTGTGGTATTTTTAAAAGTCTAGGTTATTTATGTCATTTGACATCCATAGTTTATAGAACCCAACACAGCACACTGGAACAGCCAATCTTTTTATCCTGAACAATGGCAGTGCTAATCCGTTGCTCCTGCTTCCTTTCGCGCTCATCCTCCCGTCGATTCCCTCCGGCGGATCCAGTCTCCGGAAAGCCCCGTCTTCCCGGTAAATACTTCGCTATGCATACGGTGGTTGCTTGTTTCTTCTTCTGTATGCTTGTCTTGCTTGAACTGTTCTGAAACTCCGGTGAATTTCTAATTTCTGACATGATGCGTTTCTTTTGAGCTTTTCCACTTTCTGCTCTGATTGTCTACTTTGAAAGCTGAGAAATGGAACTGGGAAATGGGAAATGAGCGTAATTCATTTATGGTTCTTGATTTTCAGTTCTAAGGAAATGATAAGGGGAAATGTTGAAACTTGATAAATATTTGTTTACAAGTGAAAGTGAACTGTTGGGGAAAATGTTGGGACTTTGTTGCTTGATGCTTCAAAATAATGGTAATTTAAGTTTATTGAAATAGGGGGATGAAGAGTGAGGTTGAATGTTTTTATTGAAACATATAGACTACAAGAAATGTGGGTGATTGAGTAGTGACCTTGCATAATTCACATGTTAGAGTTAATCTATCATGTTTGTTCCTTAAGGTTGAAGATTTGATCATGAATAATGGAATTTGAATTAATGGTTGAGAAAATATGCAAACTGATATATTGGATGGATCAGGGAAGTCACGATCTCTTCTATACAAAGTAGAAAAGCATGTACCATCTATCAGAGGTGCCAATGGTAGAGTTGAGATTCACCAACATTTGCTAGGCAGCTGGAGTTCACAGCCAAGGCTACAATATCGAAATTCAGAGGATAACTGGGTCATCAGTCATATGTCACCAGTTGATGGTGAACTTTTAGAATGGTTATTATCTCTACAGGTATGATGGTGAGTCTGCGAGGCAGCTATTATGTTAACCATTTCAAAATGTGGTTGCATAATTAACTAATTAGCTTGCTTTTACTCTAATGGTCAGATGTATGTTCCTTAAGTTACCTTCCAGAAAATGATGAGCTATCTGCAGTTATCATTAAATTCTACTATCTGATTGAAAGCTGATGCTTGGCAGGGATACATGCTATTAAAATTTCCCTTGATGGCATTTCTTGTCACCAATACCTTGATGTTTACCACACCTTCTCAAGCTTTAGCAGAAACTTGTGAGGCTGATAACTCCTTTTTCAATATGCCTTTACTGCTCATAGTGGCCCTTATAGGGGCAACTGTTGGAGGTAAATTGTACATTGTTTATGGTCACCTTTCGTTCTAGACCATCATATTACACTTAGGAAGCCTTATATAATTATACTTGATTAACATAGAGAGACATTTTTTTGGTGCTAGTGTTATCTTTTAACTTCTTGTTTGTTTTCTATTCTTTGGTCTAGTAAATGCCTTTTGGTATATCAAACAACTTGCATTCATTCCCAGTGATGTGAGGATCAGTCAACGAGATCTCATAAACGCCTAAATGCCTAAGTATGCAGAAACCTAGTCATTAAGCATACGTTTTTCGGTTTATGAAGCCAAATTGTGTCGGAGTAATGACAGAAACCTTTTTTTTTTTTGGCCAATGAATAAAACTAAAAATCTTCCATTTCATCTCCTAGCAGTAGATTTAGTTAGGGGCATGTTTTGTGACAAGCAAAATTAAACCTCCCATATCCTGTCCTGTGTCCTGATATTTAGCTCTATTTCTTATGACAAACAAATGCATGGAAAAATATATTTCAAAGTCTAGTTAACATAAATTACCATTTTACCATTATAATGATAATAACCTACTTGTTCAACAGGACTGCTTGCTCGGCAAAGGAGGGGAGAGCTGCAGAGGGTAAATGAGCAGCTACGTCAGATAAATGCTGCCCTGAGAAGGCAAGCTAAAATAGAGTCTTATGCTCCCAGCCTGAGTTATGCTCCTGTTGGCGGTAGAATACCAGATAATGAGGTAATTGTCGATCCAACAAAGGAAGAATTGATATCTAGATTGAAAGCCGGGAAGAATTTTTTGAGAAACCAGGATCCAGAGAAGGCTTTTGCTGAGTTTAAGGCAGCTCTTGAGCTTGCTCAGAATATTGAGGATCCCATTGAAGAGAAGAAAGCCGCTAGGGGCTTAGGTTTGTTTCTGTTCCTCTGCTCATCTTATCCCATAGTTCTGATGAACCATGCTGCAAATAAATCATAACTAGTTGTCAGTAAGTTTTGATTTGTTTGAGTGTTAAAACTCGAGTGTGCTTTTCAGGTGCCTCACTGCAAAGGCAAGGTAAATATCGGGAAGCCATTAAATATCACTCTTTGGTTCTGGACGTTTCTGAGAAGGAGAAAGAAGAATCTGGTAACACAGAAGCTTATGGAGCCATTGCTGATTGCTATACCGAGCTTGGAGATTTTGAGAAAGCAGGGCAATTCTACGACAAGTACATTGATAGGTTGGAAAAAGACTGACAAATTTCCATGCTCTGGCAACATGTATCTTCAGTATAAGCAAAACTGTGAAAAGCTTGCTGATCCAGACTCCATGCCCTCCTTCCATGTTCAATATCTATATTGAGGTTATGCAATCGGGAAACGGCCATCATCCTTTGAATGATATTTCAGTTTCTCTAGTGGTAGGTGACTTCTATAACATATTGGAGTTTTATCATGGAGTTCATCATGAACTCGAGCGCTATTAGTCAACTGGTCATGGTATGCACTGCCATAATTACAATAAAAATGCAAAATGAATGGTTTTCTGCAACATCCATAGACCTCCTCTGAAAACGTCTATTTGCTATTTGAACAGCCACCGTGGCGTTAAATAAGAAAAATTACATTAAGAAGCTTCGTTGATAATTAGAAATCAAATAAAATCTGTGAACATAAAATATCGATACAATCGGCAAACACATGCTATAGATAATGCAGGATGGCACGCTCACCACTAGGTAAAAAGATACACGCTTAAAAAGCCTCCTAGAAATTTTTTAACTCAAATAAGACCTGCAAAGGCAGGAAATAAGGGGTATACCACACCAACTCCATTTTATTTTTGTTACTGATAGTACATTAGCTGCTGGGCAGCAGCAACATTCTGGAACCCACCGTCATATATTGCTTGGCTTGCTCCAGCAGCACCTACTCCCATTGCTGCCTGCTTGAGAGAATGCTGTCCCGGAGGATGCATCAGGGCATGAACACCGCCCATCTTGCTCAAAGCAAGTTGTCGTTCGTAGGCTAGAAGGTCAGTGGCTGAGAGGCTGGGCAAAGGTGCAGCTGTAGGTGGAGGGAGTGGGTTTGAACTTGTCCCTGGTGGAGTAGGCTTGTTGCCCCACGAACACTGCAATCACAATAGAAGAAAAACTTAAACTATGAATTTCTAATTACAGAAGAAAGAAATTAAGAGACAGAATAAATAATAAAAAAAAAAAGGGCCAAAACCAGATTTACAGAGTAATTTAATGGACAAAAAGGCATTATACAAATGTCCAGAGGGTTCAGGAAAAACCATCTAAAAATCACCTAACTAATAATATTTTGACATTTGCCACAGACAAAGGCAAACAAGCCCTGAACTTCCTGACTTGAAGAGTTAGCTACTACATTCTAGCACAATAATATAGGTAATCCTATCTCACTCGTTCTTCTTTACAGATTGGAAAGAAATCTTGTTGGCTCAAAAAGCAGAGAAACACACCTTAATTTGTCTGCCACAGAGAAATGACTGAGTGTTCCCGATCTGAATTGCCACAGCTGCCTCGGCATGAGTACTGTATCTCACAAAACCAAAGCCTTTATCACGCTGGATTCGTATCTCCTCAATGGCTCCAGCACCAAGGACATAGAAGTGACGGTGAAGGTCATTCTGAGAGACCTGCAAAGCAGATGAACATATAAGTTATTAAAGGACTGCTCAACAGTTTAACCTGATTAACAATAACTATTAACCTAACAATTGGTTTACACCAACATGCTGCTCATATATAAGCAAATACACAGGAGCTTTGGAAGTGAACAGACACAATCCAATACCATATTTAGGCATTGAAAAAAAATAGAGGTCATCACAATTTTACACCTTCAGGCAGATTTTAAGAAATCAATAATTATTGCCATTCCTAAATTTTCATACTTCCTACATGTGCACAAAAAACACACATCTCACTCTTACATCAAGTGAGCTTAGAAGTTTTACTTACCTCAGGAGCAAGATTACCCACATAAACAGTAGTATATTGGGGATTATTTTCAGGAGCATCACTATTGATTGTCTCTTTACCATCCTCTGCAAAAAAAGGCAATAAATATTAGCTTATTGCCATCAAGTTAAAGGTCTCAATATTAGCAAATAAGAAATCAACAAAATACATATTTCAGGGTCTTTTTTATCAACAAGACAATTGACTTCATCAATGCTTCAAAACAAAAATATCTCTAAACTAACAGACACACCTGATGAACCATTGGTTAGTTCAACAACACTTTTGGCATCCGAGCTCTGCTTGTCCTCATTGGAACCAGCACCTTTTGTTGCCCAGTTACACCTTATCTGCCTGCTGCCAAGCCACTTTCCTGGAAAAAGAAGTCAAGAATAAATTCAAATATAGTAGAAAATTGAAAGATTAAAATAACACAAGTGAGACATGTCCATATGGTTACAAATAAGATTTAGAGGCCCTATCAAAAAGAAAATTGAATAAACGCAAATAATAAGGACGTGAAACATGTATCTGCTGCTGCCAAGAAATGGGATGAACTACAATGCCATCATCTCTTTTCTTCTTTTGGGTTAGGGGCAGGCAGCAAAGAGGACTGTTGAGGGAGGGAGGGAAGCTAAGGAGTGGTGCTTCAGCTATTAGTTCACTCCAGATATCAGTGCACTGCAGTGACTCAAACAGAACCCAGGTAGAAAAGGTACAGAAGAATAACCCCAAGATGATGTTCCTCAAATGATTGGCAATGAAATTAAGAAAATTATCTATTTGTCTAGAAAATAATTGAAAATTATGCAGCTTTTTGAGAAGAAAATCTCAACTCAATGAAACTCAAACAGATAACAGAAAGGAAAAAAAATGTTTCTTGGGAACACTTTTGGATTGTGTAACAATACTCTGTAGCTGGGTCATGGGAGACAAAAAACGTTCTAGACCTAAGCATCACAGCTTTATTTTATCTAATGTGCAAAATTGAAACCAAATACAAGGGAGAAGCATTTATACCAGTCAAGTCATTGATTGCACCTTGGGCATCCTGAACAGGTAAAAAAGTAAAAACCAGATAAGAGATGACGCTATAAAGGATGTTAACCACTGATCAAAAACAAACATTCACCTGGTACATAACTAGCAAAACAGTACCTGTTGGTTCCGGAATGAAACAAACCCAAAACCTCTGGAACGCCCAGTTTTTTGATCCCACATAACCCTTGCATCCCTGAAACCAGAACAGATATTAGATTGGCCGGCCAATGTTGCACTGGGAGTACAGTTAAGCATAAATGTTCATATAAAATTGTGACCAAAGGGAAGAAACTTACGAACAACTTGGGTAAACAGAAAAGCATGCAAATAGCATAGCATCAGTAACCTCAGGGCTAAGATCTCCAACAAATATGTTGAAATGACCTGCACATTGATAAAGCATTAGATTAAGAATGCCAACACATCACACAATCCATTTCAAGCATTACATTACAGATGAAAATATGAGCAAACCTGATGTATCCTCTCTCTGACCACTAGCATATGCCCAATTAACTTTGATAGGCTGGCCAAATCTGAAAATTGGATGATAAACAATTATGATATCATGAAAGAATACATACAGCCAAACAAAAGAGACCACCAACATGGGAAGTACTTACAGATGCCTTCCATTAAGAGACAGTATTGCGAGAGCAGCAGATCTGCGATCGAAGTAGTGGATGAATCCATATGATGACTGCTTCAGCAAAGTGAGAGGACAAAAGATGTCAAGCACATGGCACTAGCTAGCTCATGTGAATAAAAGAAACAGGTGAAAAATAGCAAATCAACAAAATTAATAAGCCAACTAACATAGCGTCATATATCAAAATATAGCTCCCAAATAAGTAAATAAAATGAAGGTAAAAGCAAGTACCATATTGAAGGTTTTTACCTTCTCCTTTCTGATAAGTTTGCAGCCCTCAACAAGACCAGTGCTTGCAAAAACCTCTTGCAGAAGTGGCTCTGTTACTGATGAATGGATGTTTCCCACATACCTGCAGTTTCTCAAAAATAAAGAAACTAGAAGTTTAAAAAAAAAAAAACAAAAAAACAAAAAAAATAAATAAAAGGCAATAAGTAACTTTCTCAGTTGCAACAAAGATGCAATATCAAGCAGACACCCATTTCACAATCAAAACCACTTAACTGATTGGCAAAGATATGAGCTGAATAGAACACTCAGAAATAGGAGTAATTTTTCCTACTATGTATTTTGGTGAATGCCAGTACAGTAATGCATCAATAATATAAAAGCTAATGCAGGCAGTTGCATAAGCAAGGACAAGGACCCACAGACATACAGAGTAAAAAGAAACAAAAATAAAAAAGAAAGTGAAAATTTCTAGACAATCACTCACACACTGCGGCAAGTACTTGGATCAAAACCAGGAGGCAGATTTCCACTTGGGATTGGCTCAATCTGCAAAATAAAAAAGTGAAAACAAAAACAAAAGAAAAAGGAAACAAATTAAAAACAAAAGGAGTCCCTTTTAGCTACCCACATTAATACCCAGAAAGAAAATATGTTTCTAGCGGTATTTAACACAACCTAAGGAACTCAGTCCAGAAACTACAAAAAAGGTGAGTATTTTGGCTCATTTGAACATGAGCAATACAACAAGGGACAGAATGGCTGTGCCAGTGCATCCCACGGTTTGAACATTCTCAAACCATTGGGATTCTCTCATGCCATAATTCTGGTACAAATGCCAGAGTACTATAGTCTAGGCAGAAAATCTATTTACTCAAATTTTTATGTTTTTAGCCCATCACAGTCAAAAGGCATTTTGATCTGGCTTCTTTGAAAACACTTTCAAACACTTTCAGGTTTCGACTTAAATAGGAAATGACCAAAAAATCTAGAATTAAAAACATTTTAATTTTTCCACAAAAAAAATTTCTTTATGTTGGCCTTTTCCTAAAACTCTTTTTAGGTAGTTTCATTTTCCCATTGGATACCAGATGAGATGTCAGCCAATTTTAAGGATGATGCAGTTCAAATTTCCTCTGTCCACTAAGAGATGGAGGGTGCGTTGGCAAGATTTATATCTTCCTTCCAATGCAATTTTGCAAACAATTTTCAGGTTTAATAGCATACAGCTTTGATGGTCCTCTTTTCTGATGAAATGAGTGTATTAAAAAAATATACAATATTTCGTAATCATCTCAACCTACTAAAGTAATCCCAAAATAAAATCTAAAGGTCAAGTTTTCCTCCAAACTTGCATACAAAAGAAACAGAGGAACTGGGAGTGACAATAATCAAACATTGCCCCAGAAATATCTAAATATTTCTCAATGCTTGAAAGACAGAAAGCAAAGCTCTCTAGAACTGCTTTTTTTATAATAAAAATTACGGTACTGCTAAATGAAAGCCAAGCCAAAATAGAAAGAAACAACTACAAGAGAACTAAAGCAAAGAAGAGGACAGAAAAAGACCAACCTAGTGACCCATTAAAGTCCAAAGGCAACAAAAAGCATTATTGGAAATTCCATACTAAAAACATAAGTAAATTCAATACGAAAATTTCCAGTTCAAAATTAACGGAACAAAATAAAAGCATTAAGCCCAAAAAATGAAAAAGAAAAAAAGAAATCATTGAGAGTGTCACCAAAGCACAAAAACCCAACTTTCTACTTCTTCAACTCACTTATCAAATTCATGATCAACCAAACAGAACGTACACAAAAGAAACATACAAGGCCGCAGAATTCCACATTCATAACCCTTCCAACTAGTAAAACAACACAGATACCATCAAATTTGCGCACGTTCCATGCAAAACCTAAAGTTTCCGAAATAAAATCCCCACTGCACCAAAATTCCAAGCTAACCCTAGCTCCGAACCTAATTCCAGTTGAGCTCTACTCGAAAACGTAAACACAATCAAGGCAAGCAAATCAAAACCTAAAAATTGGATCAGAACCTGACGACGACAGAAAATTTTGAAGATACAGTGAGAGAGAGAAGTCGAACCTGAGGAGGAGCTAAGAGGCCAGGGTGATAGAGAGGCTGTTGCTGGAGGAGAGCTTGCTGCATCAAGACTTGTTGCTGCTGCTGCTTGAGCCTCTGGTGCTGCATTTTCCCGACGATTCCTGGGGAAATTAGGATCCTATTTCGGAGAATATCAGTGTTTCCCTTTGTTAGGGTTCAGAGGAGCAAGGGTCCTCGTGAAAGAGAGAATATGAGAGAGACGAGCAGGGGCCTCTATGGCTCTAGGAAAGAGGAGGAGAAACGTGTGGCTCCAAAAATTATTTATAGTTGGATTTTTATAGATTCATGGTTTTGTTAAACTTACTGTCTGTGTTCCTACTGTTCTTGTGTGTCAATAACAAGATGACGCGTCCCGTGCCTTCGAACTTACACCTAACTGTAATTGCAAAAGGAGATTTAATTTTTTTTTTTTTAAAGAGATTTAAATTTTTTTAAATTATTATACATTAAAAAAGTACAGTTTATTTTGTAAATTTATTTAAATATTTTTAATAAAATAATATAAAAATAATTTTTTACAAAATATTTAAATGTACTTTTAATATACAGTTGATTTTATAAAATATTTTTTTGTTTTCTTATAAATGAAATTACATGATAAAAGTATAATTTTGTACTAAAATTATTATTAGAAAGTTCATGATATACTGACAAGAAAAGTATTTTTATGGTTTTATGGACAGTCCTGCATCTTAAAAAATGGCATATTTTAATCGAATGATTTGAAAACCAATTATTAAATTAAATGTTGTGCTAATGTAGATCAAAAATGATAATTGTTAGATTGATTTAAAATATATAATTTTGTTGGTTATAAAAAATTTCATATTATTAAATATATATTAATAAATAAAATTTATTTAATTAAATATTATAAATACTAAATAAATTTAAAAATTAACATGTATGCTTTGATTTATATAATATTTAATTCAAATATTTATTTTTTAAAATATTTATTAAAATATAAAATTTTAAGTAAATCTTTTAAAAGAATTTTGAAAACATGACTATTTTACACTAACTTTTATATGGAGAATTTATTAATATATTTTTTATTTATAGTTTTTCTATGAATCAGCATAGCAAGAAAGAATTTTATTATAAAACGTACTTTAATAAATATATGACTCAGAATGGTAGGAACAATACTTTTATTGTGAGTCCCTACCAAAAAAATACATTTTTATTCAAAAACAACTTCTTAATACTAGTAGTATTTTTTTTTATCTTGATTGTATAATAAAAGATAATTATTTTTTATCCCTTATTTCACTTTACTCGCATATCATATAATTCGAATTCAAGACTTTTTGCTTATAACGAAAAGAAATTATCACTAAATTATTTAACTCATTGATAATATTAGTAATTTTTTTTTTATCTTGATTTTACAATAAGACTTAGTCACATGTCATGCGACTCAAAATCAAGATCTCTTACTTCTAATAAAAAAACCATTAAATTATTTAATTTATTGACCATTAATAGTACTTTTAAACCAACATTTTTACCCTTTTTTTTCTAAGGAAAAGAAATTTTATATCTATAAAAAACTTAGGTTAAAACCCCTTTTTGGTCCCTAAACTATTGTACGGACCCCCGATTTAGTTCTTGAACTAAAGAAATCCCTGATTCCCTACTGTTTACCATTTTTACCCCGATTTGGTCCTTCCGTTAAAATCTCACTGTTATCTCACGACAATTTAATGACATGTCAAACATTTGAGACACGTCAGTTATATAAATGAATAAATAATGACATGGTAACATGACATGTCATGTCCTTGCCCAACCCAACAAAAGTGGAACCCACCAAAATTACGAATTTGCCATCATCTTCTTCCTCCAACAAACAAAACCAGCACCTGGGTTGAATCGAACCCAACAACGCCCTTTTTTTTTCCTTCCTCTTCCTTGCCTTGCTTTCTTCATCATCATCAAACACCAAACCCACAAAAAAAAAAAATACATTTTTTACCCCTGGGTTCGAACCCAGGTGTCGGTTCGAGGGAACCCAGCTGGTTCGCCGCTGGGTTCCAAGGAACCCAGACGCGGGTTCCATGGAACCCACGCCAGAACCCAGCGCCTGGGTGGGTTCGAAGGAACCCAAGCCTGTTGGGTTCTGTGGGGAAAGAGAAGGGAAAGGGGAAGGAGGAAGGGAAAGGGAAAGGAGAAGGAGAAAGAAAAAAGAAGAAAAAGATAAAAGAAAAA